AAATGGAACACAAGCTTTTCTCTGCTTGTTTCCTTAATTCCCTTGGAATATTGCACAGCTCTTCATAGGGAATTCTGCTGCTTTGTCTGTGCTCTCGGGAGGCACTCGACAATGGAGCTTTCTGAGCACAAGCCTCCACACACACCCACTGGCAGCTACCAGCAGACCTGACCAAACTGCAAATTAATCTCATTAACAGAAACATCACTACCTGCCCCCACAGCCCCATCTGCCCCCACAGGGAAGGGATGTGCAAGGCATGGAGGGAGCCCGTGCAGGTGGGAGGGAGCGCTGGGGCCAGCTGTGACCCCGGCTCATCCCAGCCTTGCAAACATCCTCCTGTTCTCTGTGCCTCCCAACACAGGAGCCACTCATGCCAAGCAGGCTCTTGTCTGGACCTGCCTGGTGGCACAGAGAGGCACACGTGTCACTGTCCCTGAGCCAGCTGCAGCCTGGGGACACCTGCTCGCCCTGGAACAGTGCCAGGCTCCGGGGACACACGTCTGCCAAGCCCTGAGAGCAGGACAGCAAAGCTCTGCCTACCCAGATAAAGATCTTCTGAGGAGCACAGAAGATGCTGGTGGCAGCATTATACAGGTAATCAAAGAAAACTCCTCAAAGAGAAGTTACTCAGCATTTGCAGCATCTTCCAATGGATCGCTGCTCTGACTTTCTCCCACATCCTACAAGGGCTAAAACTTTCAGATGCAGTCAAACACCAAAGACACATCATAATACATGGATTATTTATTGTCACTCAAGAAATACACAAGAGAAATGCCTTTATGTTTAATTTTTAAAAATTTTATTATAAGTACACTTAAAAAATGTTAAAGAAGAATGCTCATAACATACCACAATAACCAGGAACACAGTTAAAGCCTACAGCATTTTTTCCTCAAAGGAGAAAACCTAATGTCCACCATCCATATCTTCTTCAGCTTGTGCAGCTACTGCTCACCTCCTTCATTGACAGCTCCTACTGCACTGACTCCTTACTGCTGATGAAAACTGGCAGTGTAATAAAAGCTGTTCAATAACTATTGCACTTCTGCTCAGAGGTCCTTACATTTCAGCTGCAAGTCGAGCAATTGAGTTTTTGAAGTGCTCTGAAATCGTTCAGGGTAGAACTGCTAAGGTTATTGTTATCCTGTTTGTTTCACAGCTAGAAAGTACTGTTTAAATCCAGAAATGGCAAAACCCTCCATTTCAGGAGGCAAAAGGAAATGACCAGAGAAAAAAGCCTGTTTTATGAGTCTGCTTGTCACAACAGATTTTCCTGCAGAGAGAGATAAATGCTTGAAACGTGAACTTCCAAGCGGCCTCAGCATGAATCCCAGCAGTTACATTTTTGAAACACATTACATGTCTTCCTTTCTGTGAGAGACAACAAAATACATTCCCTACCAATGGGAACTGAAAGTCCATCTGAGGAAAAGCAAACAGCATTAAATTTCCCAAAGGAAAAATGCTGAAGTTTTAGCTGAGAGACTGAAACAAAATAAACTAAACGTTTTACACCAAGTGGCTTTGGAGATAACTGTTCTATACTTTGCAAAGACAACTGAATTTTACCAGGCTTGGTGGAACAGCCCACAGAAAGAATCCACTGCCTATGAACTCCTTTGGCCACTGAGGTTATGGGGAAATCATTCAACAGGAAATAAGAGTCTGGGTTTAAAGGACAAGGGAGGGGGACCAGGGCTCTGAGAACTGACATGGACATGGGGTCAGGTTTTCCCAGCAAGCAGGCAGAAGTGGCTGTATGAAGTCACACATGATGAAAAAATTGAGGTTGAAAATTCTATTGGAAGAAGTTATATCCAGTCATTAAGGGCAGCATTATCTGGTGGGCAGTTACCAGTGGCTCGTGTTCAATTCCTGCCTCCGTCAATTGATAACTGAAGACAAATAAAATCTCCATCTCAGTGTCTCCAGCTGCGACCTGAGCCATTTTCTTACTGTGAGCACAGACAGGGCCCTTCCACAGGTCTGTGAAGGCACAGGTGAGGGGTGCTACCTCAGCCTGCTTCTAAAAGACTCTCGTGGCTATTTTAGACTGGAAAGCTCTGGCCAACCTGAAAAAGCCAAGCCACTACAAGTGTTCTAAAAGGGCATTGGTGAGGACTTGGGAGAAGGAAAAAACAAATTACAGACAAAACAAAAATGCAGATGACACAGAAAGTACAAATAACACTTTCAAGCATTATTCAAGCCATTTAAAAACCAGAGTCCAATTAAAAACATTTTAGAGACTTTAAAAACAAATCAGCCTCAGATTTTTTAATTACACACCACTACTTCTCCTCAGCTTGAGCTGGCTTGGATCATGAAAGCCCATTTCACTTTCCATCTCCTGCATTAGCTCAAGATTGCAATGTTCACACTTGGAAAACATTTATCAGATTTATTTATGTATTTAAGCATTACTCAGGAGAGCGAGCGCACCCACTTCTAAATAAAACCTTGCACTGCCTCAGCTCAAAGGTTCTAGTTCGAGCAGAAATTTTTAATCTAAGTGGCATGTTCATGGCAGCATTCAGCAGGTGCCACCTGCCCAAGCCAGCTGCTGGCTGGGTCATGCCGGGACACAGCCCTGCTGCTCCACATACAGACCATCCTCGATGTGCCTGTCCCTGCTCTGCCCCTTCCACGCTCCCCACCACACCTGACGTGTTCTGATTCCAGCATCAATGAGCACCAGGCAGTCGGGCTCAGGAGCCTTGGCCACAGCAGCAACTTCACATCTAAACTTTGACAGCCCCTGCTGCTTCCCCAGCAGAGGGGAAGGAGCAGGAGGGCAGGGGCCTGTTAAAAAAGCTTGTTACCGCTGTGATGGATACGCACTACACCTCCACTTCACTGCTGTGAACAACCGGCAGCTACACGCAGCCCACCGCAGCCAGTGCCACAGAAGCACAAAAGCGCAGAGCTGGGGGCACGGGGAGAGGCGGCCGCAGGGATTCCCAGCTGGACCAGGCTCAGAGGTGCCCAGGGACACCGCCGGCTCCTCCCGCCCCGCCACAGCCGGGCTCTGCGGCAGGGCTGCTCCGGCGCGGTGCCATCGCAGCGGACACGCCGTCCGTGCTGCCGAGCAGCGGGCACGGGGCACCGGGCATGGAGCACGGCCCACCGGGCACGGAGCACTGCCGAGCACCGGGCACGGAGCGCGGCTCAGGTCGCAGATGGAGGCACTGAGATGGAGATTTTATTTGTCTTCAGTTATCAATTGATGGAGGTAGGAATTGAACACGAGCCACTAGTTACTGCCCACCAGATAATGCTGCCCTTGGCCCGCCGGGCACGGGGCACTGCCGAGCAGCGGGCACGGGGCACCGGGCACGGGGTACCGGGCACGGGGCACTGCCGAGCACCGGGCACGGGGCACCGGGCACAGGGCACTGCCGAGCACCGGGTACGGGGCACCGGGCACGGAGCACTGCCGAGCACCGGGCACGAAGCGCGGCTCAGGTCGCAGTTGGAGACACAGAGATGGAGATTTTATTTGTCTTCAGTTATCAATTGATGGAGGTAGGAATTGAACACGAGCCACTGGTTACTGCCCACCAGATAATGCTGCCCTTAATGATTGTATATAACTTCTTCCAATAGAATTTTCAACCTAAATTTTTCATAATGTGTGACTTCATACAGCCACTTCTGCCTGCTTGCTGGGAAAACCTGACCCCATGTCCATGTCCGTTCTCAGAGCCCTGGTCCCCTTCCCTTGTCCTTTAAACCCCGACTCGTTTCCTGGCAGGCACGGAGCACTCCCCGCAGCCGAGCAGCGCCGTGCGGGGACCGAGCGGCACCGGCCCCGAGCGAGGCCGAACACCGGCGCTCAGGTGCGGGGCTGCGCTCTTTGTGTACACACGGCTGCAGCCCGGAATGCACACAGGTGTGTGCAGAACAACCACCCAAATTAACCCTTCCCAGAGCACGGGTGCCACGGCTCTGCCACCTGGGAGTCAGCGCGGCTCATCCACGGACAGCTCAGAAATACCTTTCTTACCTCCGATTCCCCCCCTTCTCCTCTAAAGCTCACACTTAAGGAAAAAGTATAAAAAACGAGTGCTTCGGGAACAAACGCCGGGAAAGGGAGCGGGAGCCGATGCGCGCCTCCTGCGCAGCACAAGTCCCGCCAGCGGCATCCCCGCTCAGGTGCGCCGGGGGAAAAGAGCCCCGAGGTTCTCCGGGCAGCACCGGGGCAGCACCGGGACAGCACCGGGACAGCACCGGGGCAGCACCGGGGCAGCACCGGGCAGCACCGGGGCAGCACCGGGGCAGATCCGCGTCCTCAGCGCCAGCCCGGACGGGCGCGCACGGCCGCGGCGGCCGAACCCGCTCCGCGCCGAGGCACCGGCACCGGCCCCGGCCCCGTCCGCCCGCCCGGGCCCAGGGCGTTCCCCACGCGGCGCCCGCCAAGACCCGCGGCCCCCCGGGGCCGGACCATCGGGGCTCTGCCCGCCGCACATCCCCGGGGCCTCCATCCTCCGCCCTCACCTCCTTCTTCACGTTCCACAGCAGCTTGTCCTTCACGGCGTCCGCCGAGCAGCTCATGTTGGCGGGCCCGGGGCGCTCACAGCTCCCGACCCGGGCCCGCCGCCATCTTCACCGCGGCGTGACGTCAGCGGGCGGGGCGGGGGCGCCGCCCGGCCGCGGGGGGGCGCTGTGCGCGGACAGAGGCGCGCGGGACAGGGGGACAGGAGGGACAGAGGGACAGGGGGACAGAGGGACAGGGGGGACAGAGGGACAGGGGGACAAGGGATAGAGGGGACAAGGGACAGGGGGGACCGGGGGGGGACAGCGGGACAAGGGGGGCAGAGGGGACAAGGGACAGAGGAACACCGGGACACGGAGCAGGCAGGACACGGAGCCCCTGCTCTGCTGCCGGCCCCGGTCCGGGAGCTCCAGCCCCAAATCCTCACTGGGATCCAGAGACCCACACTACCAATAAACAGTTATGAGGCTGGAGAAAAATCACAGAAGACAAAGTATAATACTTTATTAAAAATTAGTGTTCTATTTTCTTTTAATGCACTGGTGAAACACTTTAATCAACAGATAATTGATTAATTAGCGCATTAACTAGGTGCATTGTCTGTAAAACTGACCCTTAAAAGTTAGACATGAAAATAAAACAAAGACTGAATCTCTAAGAAAATAACTTGATCCCAGAATGTCAGTTTAAACAAGATCAGCAATCATAATTGTTATCCTCTGGATATAAAACATCACAGAAATCCAAAAGAATCCTTTACTCTCAATGAACAAATTAAGTGTCAGCCACCCTGTGAGGCAGGGGAGGGTCTCACTCGTTCCACTGGATGAGGAGAAGTGACACAGCTGCAGAAAGAGCTGGAACAGGACTCTGCAGGCACACCTGCCCCACAGCTGGGGAAGGTGGCTGTTCTGGGCCAAGGATTGTCACAGGACACAGCCTCACCGTGCAAGGCAGGGGCTGCTGGGCACACCCATCCAGTTCAGGTGTATCTCCAGTGCTGCCTGGAAATGAAAAACCTCAGAAGAACAAAATCAAAGCAAGCCACGGTAAGCAACGCCCATTCCAACGCAGCTCTCAGTGACACACGGCCCCTCCAACACCCTCCCTGCCCACCACTAATTTTCTATTTTAACCAAGAAGTGCCAAAGAAAAGTCACTGGAGCGGAACACTGCAGCAGGATAAATGTCTCCTGGTCAAAAACCAAAACGTCAGGGTGCAGGTGAAGCAGTGACTTTGGGCGCTGAGCAGAGCAGAGCTGAGCCCTGCAGAGCTCTCTGCCCTGAGCCTGCTGCCCCAGGAACTCGGCCTGGGGCTCCTGCCCAGCAGCCCCGGACACCGAGCCTCCCTCCGGGCACAGGCCCGGGCACTCCCCTTGGGAAGCAGGCCTTGGGAAACGTGGCCTTGGGAAAGAGGCCTTGGGAAACAGGCCTTGGGAAACAGGCCTTGGCATGGCTGGCACCCAAAGGCTCCGCTCACCCAGTCTGCCAGGCCCTGCCTGAATGCACAAAGCCTTGACTAAGTTTAGGAGTGAAGAGGGCAGCGAGTGCTGTAAGAATGACAGCTATTCACACCCTGCAAGTGGGCAAAAAGGCTCTTTTTCCTCCCAAAGGCTACTCCAAATTCCCGGCCACACCGTTCATGCAGCCACTGCCGACGGTCTGGGTGGAAGCCAGCACAAGTCTCAACTTGCAGGCAAACACATATAATTAGAAAGCTGTATTGTCTTAATCTGGGCTTAATTTGAGCTTAATTTGAGCAGAGATCCTTGGAAAGCTGACTGCAAACCCACCACTGCTGCCTTAGACTGTGTCATCTGCTCACTGCTGCACTACACTGGCTGTAAGCTCATCTTTAGAATGTCCAGAGCATTCCTGTCACAGTAATGAATAGCCTTCAATTACATAAAGACTGATTAAGGTGAGAATACAAAGCACGTGTTACATCTCCAGTCCTAGAAATGATCAGAACCTGGTGGGACAGAGACTGGACCAGGGCACGACTTTGGGCAAGGCAGGTTCAGTGACACAGCATGCAGGAGCAGCTCCAGACAAACAGGAGACCCTGCAGTGAAATGAAAAGGGTATCTGCACGTATCTCAAACGTGTGCACAACTGCTGACAGCTCCTACTGACACTCCACATTCCACAAACACCAAGGAGATCCTCTGCACGTGGTAGAAGATTCTCACAGCCCAGATGGTTCTCAAAACTGTTTGCTTCCCAGGTTAATTAATCTAAATTCAAATCAGAAATTAATACTACTTGTTGGCCGTGGGAAATAGGGAAAGGAAAACTAAACCAAAACACAGGCTTTTCTCTGCTTCTAACAGTGTAACAAGTCACAAGTTGGATCCATTTTGTTAATGGACCCTGTGAGTGCAAAAAGCCTCTGGAGTAGCACACGGATCTGACATTCCCTTTCACACACTCCTTCCCACACCTGTCCTCCCCAGAAAAAATAAAAGCAAATATGACATTTTTCTGCTTATAACTTCATTTAAACACAGTTTTTCAAGGCTATCAGCATCACTTACTTACTCTGTTAACATTCACTATGATAGCAATAAGAAGAAAAATAATATAAATAATTTGCCAAGAAACAGAAGCACCACGTGTTTTTTAAATGGCATCAGTCTTTGTTACAAGACAGAAAAAGCACAAGATAATAACTTGAAGCTATTAAATGCAGCACAAAGACCCAACCCCTGCAGCCTCTGCTGGTGCCTTCTAATTAAATAGCATCAGTGGAGGGAAAAAATTTTAAAAATCCACATCACACTCTAGCAGAATTAGAGAGAAATACCACAGAAATCTCTGTTGAAAATAAATCTCAACAGCTGTATTTTCCCTGGCACAACAGAATAACCAGCTGGAAAACAAAAACTTACAGAAAGAAATATAAAAGAGGTTGTTAGGATTATTAGATTTCAAGAGGCCTTTCACAAGAAGGCAGGTGCATCCCTGTGCAATGCTGCTTCCTGAATGTGAGGAGAATGAAGTGAATCCTGCCACATGTAGAGGCAAGAAAACCCTAAAAGTCTGTTAGTGTTTTCTTACTAACCCACAACATTTTAGTTTTCAAAAACCTAAATGAGTGCAAATAATCTTTTGCTCCCTCCCCTGCTTCTATTACTCCAAAACCATCTACACCTCAATTCTCCTTAGGAACTCCCTGCATTAAGCTGGGATTACTTTCTTTTGCAGTAATTTTATTCAGAACTTACAGGTGGATTTGGCAGTGGTCAAAGCAGTCCAGGACTGACCATTGTGGAATGTGGAGCTCTGTGACCCAGTATGACATGGGAACACAAAGGCAGCTGTGGAATACACCCAAAATATCCCTGGCTCCCAGTGGGCAGCCAGCAGGAATAACCACGACAGTGGCAAAGCTGCTACCTACAGCTAAAACACACAAACAAAGGTTTAAAAATACAACAGTGGCTTTTCATACTGAACTTGAAACTGTTTCCAGAAAAATTCCAGATATTTACAAATTTTCAGAGCAGACTTGACTCCCACCTCCTGAAGTGCCCTGTACAATCAGCACCCAGCCAAGCACTCCTAATAAAAGTGATTATTTCAGTTTAAAATCCAGTACAAGCCACCTCTCTCCTGTGCCCAAAGCCTCTCGCAGTTCCATGCTAGAACAGTATTTTCACTGCTGTTTTTCTTCTTCAACTTCTACCCTCTAGAAGAGATTCAGGACACAGAACTTGAATTCACAGGTTCTAGCCTTACAAAACACTGTTTAGCCTGTACTTCTCCAGCCACTGCAATTTTCCCCCCCGCTGCTTGAGAAATTTAACATTAAATAGCATGTTTAGGCTACAAGAGGAAAAGAATGTAAAACCAATTCCCCAGACTGCTCTTGTTTATGTCAACAGGATTTCACAGTGACAAGCTTCAACCAGGGCAGCAGAGCCACAACCTGCTCAAGCTGGGAGGAAAAGAATGTAAAAACAATTCCCCAGATTGCTCTTGTTTATATCAATTCACAGTGACAAGCTTCAACCAGGGCAGCAGAGCCACAACCTGCTCAAGCTGGCTTATTTCAGGTTTCTTTCCCTCACCATACCATTTCCCCCTCTCCCAGGATAAGTCATTACCACACATTTACATTTTCAGAGACTTCCATTTTTCACACGGAGAGGCTGATGACTTGGTTCTTACACACTGGAAGAGCTTGCCTTGGAATCGATGGGTTTTAAAGACACTACCCTGGAACACAGGCCAGTGCAGCTGCTCTGGGGACAGGGCTGGGAGAGCACAGGTGCAGCTGACTGGCCAGCCAAACGTTTCTCCTGGGGGTTATCCCCTGCAGGGTCTGCCAAGGGCAGCCACATTCAAGTTCTCTCTTCAGTATCTTCATTTAATAACTGCAAGTTCCACTGTACAAGGTCCTGACAGGGGAGCTGGCTGGAAAGAGCTTTTCAAACCGCCCCACGTCACTCAGGAAGGGCAGCGCTGCTCCGGCAAGGGAGAAACTGGCACATGGTGAGGCAGGAAAGAGCAACCACAAACTGAGAACCAGCGTCCCCCGTGCCCCTCCCCAGCAGGAAGAGGGGCCAGCCTGCAGGTAAAGCACAAGGCGCACGACTCACAGCTCAGCCCTCCGAGGCTCGGCCTTTAGCGCCGCTTTGTGCACGCAAATCCCCGCTGGCTCTCCCGGGGGGCCGAGGCGCCCCGCGGGGATGGATGTCCAGGGGATCCCCCCCTGCTGCCCGAGCACAGGGGGCACGGCACAGCTAGTGGCCGAGCTGGCGGTCGTCGTAGGTGCTGTATCTCTTGACGTGGATGCGGCGCACGCGGTCGCGCAGCTCGAAGCCCTCGTCGTCCTCGCTGTGCGAGGCCTGGCTGCGGCTGCGGCTCGTGGCCTCCAGCAGCGAGTTATCGGGCACCCGGGGCGTCTCGTACAGCAGCACGTTCAGCGTCTCCTCGTAAATCCGCGCCTCGGGGAATTCAACCTGCAAGAGACAGCGCGGGTCCTGCTCCTCAGCTGTCCAGGAGGACGGCTGGAACGCACGCCCACTCCTGAAAGGGTACTGAGCTGCGAACCCACACATTATAGAGTTTCTGGGACAGGGCTGCTCCCACCGGGTCACCTCCCTCACCTAATCTTTCAGATTGCTCTAGAAGGCAATACAGTATCTCTGATTCTTAACACAGGACCCTGGTAGCCTCAGCTGCAGCACTGCAAATTCCAAGTTAACTCCTGTTGATTCCTCTCCGTGTGTGGAGACACGAGGTTTGACTCCATTTCAGAAGGCTGATTTATTATGTTAGATATTATATTAAAATGCTACATTAAGACTATACTAAAAGAACAGAGAGATCAGAAGGTTACAACAAGAATAGAACAGAATAGAATAGAATAACAAAAATCCTGTGACTGCTCACAGCCCTGGCACAGGTGGCTGTGATTGGTCATCAATGGAAAACAATCCACATGGACCAATCATGGATGCACCTGTGGCATTCCACAGCAGCAGATAGTAATTGTTTACATTTCTCTCCTGAGGCTCTTCAGCTTCTCAGGAGAGGAAAAATTCCAGCAAAGGATTTTCTTAATATCATGGTTACAAACTCCTGAAGTTAGAGAAGCCCTGCAGACTCCTGCAGCTAACCACGACCGTTCCTAAACAGTCTCAAGCTCCAGGGGTGAGGCTCCATTACCTTGGTTTGCTTCTTCTCCGTGGCGTAGACGATGGAGGTGCAGCACACCTCGGCCAGCTTGCGGCCCTGCCCGTAGAAGGACCAGCAGCAGATCTCGTCCCCGATGACGTCCTTGATGAACAGCACTCTGCCGTTGAACCGCAGGGACAGCTTGTCAAACAGCTCGATGTTCTTCAGCAAGTTGTCATCAGAGTTACTGGAACAGCAACAAAAGCAGGAACAGAGCTTTTCAAGCAGCCATCTCTGCCTGCTCCGCTTTCAGCGCTGATCCAACTGCAGAATACAAATAAGTAGTGACTCACTGCCGCATGCTGCCAAGAAAAGAGGGGTAATAGCCCATTTCAGATACAAATACACTGCTCTGACCCCGTGAGCAAACACAGCAGCCTTTAGAGGTCAACTCACACAATTAATAAGGACAGCACAATGTCCCAAACCATTACATCAACTATCCACGCTCGAGATGATCAAACCCCACTTCACTGAAGTTCTCTGGCTTGATGACAGCAGAAGTCCAGAGTCGGTGTGTGCTGGAAGGGCCATGTGCTCTGCATCCTGCACACCACACTCTGCCAGCACGAATACATTCTTTTAAAAAATAAGTTTTATTGACAGACACGCAATGTAGGGCCCTAATTACTTTTCAAACAAGATACAGTTGTCAAAACCCAAAACAAACCAAAAGAAGTTAGATCATTGATCATCATCTTCCACTCCCATAGTCAAAAAAGCAACTTTTCCACTAAAGTGAGGGGAAAAAAAGAAGGGACATACCTGGTGTAGGAGTATTTATTGTTGCTTCTATTATACAGCAGTTTAACAACAGGCTGTTGGGAGTGAGAGAAAAGAGGAGAAGGTAAGTTCTGTGTTTCAATACATTCAGCATAAATCCACAGCTGAAAAGAGCAGTTACTTTCATTGATGACTCTATCAGTCTCTCCTCTTCTTTCGGAGAGGTGATAATAGGGATGCTGCAGACAGGTTCATACAAGTCTTTCTTGTCCTGTTTTAATGAAAGAAGAAAGAGAGGAAATAAGAAAGGAATGCTAAAGCTGACACTGCTGCTGCTGCCTCCTCCAGCCCCTCCAGCCATGTTCCCAAACGCTGTGATGCACAGGAAAAGAGCTGGGTTGCTACAGTAACCACACAGCTTACCTTGATCTGCAACCCAGAATCACAGCACAGATTTCTTATCCCCAGAAGGCAGCAGTAATTGAAATACTGGGATGCAGGTGGATGTCCTCAGCTATAGCAAGGACAAGGTCTAGTCGTACTTGGTTTAAGTGGGTTTAATAGTCCATCCTTTCTTGAAGGAAAGGACAGAAGGAGTCTGCACTAGTTTTAATCAACTCAAACCACTGCACAGAAGAGCATCAGCCACTGTGAACTGAACACTTGGCAGAACAGGATGTCACCAACACGAGCCAGCCCTCAGGGACAAGAGCAAAACCCAAGTGTGGGCAGGACAGGCCGTGTCCCCAGATCCCTGGGGCAGCAGAGGCTGTGTCCCCAGATCCCTGGGGCAGCACAGGCTGTGTCCCCAGATCCCTGGGGCAGCAGGGGCCGTGTCCCCAGATCCCTGGGGCAGCACAGGCTGTGTCCCCAGATCCCTGGGGCAGCAGAGGCCGTGTCCCCAGATCCCTGGGGCAGCAGAGGCCGTGTCCCCAGATCCCTGGGGCAGCACAGGCTGCGTCCCCAGATCCCTCACCACCTCTTTACTAAATCGTGTTTTAAAAATGCCTTGTACACCTCAGATTTGGTGGCATCTCTAAGGCCATGAAATAATCTCTCAAGTTGTCTTAAGTAAATTTTATAAGCAAAGTACCCATTAAATACTTCACAGGATAGTTCTGTTCTTACCTGCAGGGCTGCTTGGCACATGTCCACTAAGCCCTGGATGAGATAGTATTTGGCTTCTGCCATCAAGGCTTTGATCTCCTGCCTGTGTTTTGGAAGTGCAATCGTGTCATCTCTGAGATAGTTTAAAATTGTTCCAAAGTGCTTCCCACAACGGTCTATAAGGATCCAGCCTGAAAATAACCAACACATTTCAGTCACCTCAACACAAGAGGCAAGAGAAAGCTCCCTGGAGAGGTTAAACAACACTGAGGTTTCCTGATGCTGCTCAGGACACTTCTCCCATTTCATCCAGTGGAAGTCCCTACTGCCTTTGAGCAAACTGAAGCTGGTTCCAGAACAGAACCTGAGAGTGGAGCCCCTCTGGTATTGCCCAGATGCTCCCACTGCTTTCCAGCACCCCAAAAGCAAAGCCCCAAGCTAAAAACACTCAGCTGCCAGCACAATGCACTGAGATTGCTGCAGGAACCCAACTGCAGTGCTACACCGTGATGCTGGGCAGTCAGAAACTTCTGAGAGCCAAGGAAGGACCAGAAGAGAGAATTCACCAATGATTGCAACAAATAGATATGGATAAGTTCTGTGGCCTAACAAAGAGGATTTGGCAATTTTCCAAACACATCTGTTGCTGCTGTTTGGAGTTAAAAAGAGAAAGAAATGTTCTGAAGATGCTAAAAGGCAGATCAGCCCAGAAAACCCAGGGTGGGGGAAAAGCTGTTCTAGTCCCCAAACAGGAGCAAAGAACAGGACAGACAGATCAGGAGGAAGCACAGAGGGGATGAAGCACAGGAAACAGTATCAAATGGACAAATTCTTGCAATTTTACAAAACCCCTGAAGTCACATTCCCTAAGGAAACAGGATGTCTGATTGCTGCCAAACAATAGCAGTGTAGGACGCACTCACGCACAAGGCTTAGTACGGTGCCAAACCCTTTCCCATAACGTGGAAGGCAGGAAAAAAGTCTTATTTTGGAATCTAGGTACAGAAAACAACCTAGGAAAGCAAGCTAAACCCCTGCTGGACTCTCCAGCTGGAGCTATCAGAACATGACTCTCATTTTCCATCCAGGCTGAGGCTCTTACACAAAATTGCCTGTTCTGCCCTTTATAATGTATCAGGGATTTAAAATATCCTGTGTCCAGCTGGAGGTGACACACTGCCTGACTGATCCCCAAATGCTGCCATGGCACCACGAGCCACGACTGAAACATGCTGCTCAGGAAAAGGGAAAAAAAAAGACTTTTCAACAAGGCAAAGCAGGCTATTCTGAGCCTCAAAGCTGAAAACTGCATGTCCCTCCTTACGTGCGTGGTTTGAATAATGCCAGTGCTGGATGTGACAGAAATGACAACCCACAGACTGTCTGTTCAGTCTTTACAACACCACCAGCAACCTGCTCACCAGCTGCAAGGGCAGGAAAGAGTCCAGTCCTTTCCCAGCTCATCTGAGTAACAAAACCAGGTACTTCTAGAAGCCAAAGGATTGCTAGCACCAAGAGGACTTGGCTGCCTAACGTTCCCAGTTATTCTGGCACACATCATCCTCTACATCCTTAACGGAGTACAACCAGCACCAAACCCCAGCTGTTTTACAGAACTGCCAGCGATGAAAGCCATGCCCTTACCTTCCTTGTCGGTGAGCACCTCCATCCTGCCGCTGAACATGGCCTTGAGCATGGTGTCGTGCCTGGTGAGCACCTGCACCGTGGTGTAGTACAGGGAGCCCCCGACGTTGAGCCGCACGTACTTGTTCCCCAGGCTGCTGCCCTTCAGCCCGCCGGCCTTGGCCTTGTGCCCCGCGGCCGGGCACAGGGCGCTGCCCAGGCACGTGTCCCCCGACATGTCCTTCTGGAGGTAGATGACCACCCTGCAGCGCGTGGGCCGGGCCGGCCCCGCCGTGGTGCCGCCGTCACGCCTCAGCGGGCCAGGACAGCCGGGCAGGGGCCGGCATCACCGAGGGGTCAGCACGGCCAGGGGTCAGCACGGCCAGGGGTCAGCACGGCCAGGGGTCAGGGTCAGCACGGCCAGGGGTCAGCACGGCCAGGGGTCAGGGGTCAGCACGGCCAGGGGTCAGCACGGCCAGGGGTCAGGGTCAGCACGGCCAGGGGTCAGGGGTCAGCACGGCCAGGGGTCAGCACGGCCAGGGGTCAGCACAGTGTGGAGTCTGCACGGCGCCCCACGGCCACTCCGCACACAGATGGGGATGTCGCCCTGCGGAAGAGACACTTCCTAAGGACACAACTACACACATCCTGGCAAAACACGATTTAGCCGTTTTTCAGACAATGATGCAGCCAATGCTGTGTCGCACTTCTGAGGCATGAGAAACTCCCCCGACTTCCTGTTGTTGCATCTCCAGCCAACACTGCAAACACCACACGGCACCGAGGGCCCGGCCCGAACGCTGCTGGAATTCAGCTCCCCCTCAGCTTCCCAAGAGAACCCAGCTCTCTCTGAACCCAGCTGAAATGCCCTGGAAGAGCTTCCTGCCTCTCCTTCGGCTGGGGAGTGTGTGCATCCCCCTGAGCGGGGTTTGTTGGCATTGGTTTGACTTTAAACTGGAGACACAAATGTCTCTTCAAATGCCTCAGCACCGAAAAGATGGATCACACAGCTCTATTTTGTGGTAACTCCTTTCATTCAAAACTCTCCTGCATCTATCCTGGAGCCCCAACCAGTGAACACAGATCTAATTTGAAAAGAAAATAAACAAGACTCCCCACCCCATACACCACTGTCACTGATGCCCTGCCTTGCTTTAAACCCTCAAAACGCCCTTTTTACAACAGTGGCATGTTTGTAACAGCAGCCAGACCGAACCTGTGAGGGGTCGGGAATGCAGCCTGTCCCACCGAGCTCCTCAGAAGAGTTCGCGGTCAGTGCCGTCCCTCCAGGCAGTTTCTCACTGCTCTGACCGAAGAACGAAGCTAAACACGAGCAAAGCAGCTAAAGCCCCTGCCCAGCCAGCACAACCCAGGAGCTGTGAGCCTCCGCCGTAAACAGCCACGAGACCTTTAATTAACGCTTTTGACACGACCGAAAACTCCCCACATCCCTTCCCGTCCCTTCCTGCCCGCGTGGGAGGCACGACGGGCTGCGGAACAAAGGCCCCGCAACGGGACCCGCCCCGGCTCCGCACGGCCGGGAGAAGGAGCGACCCGAACGGCTCGGGGGGAGCCGGGGAACCCGAGGGTACCGGGGCACAGCGGGAACCCGCCCTTCGCCCCCGCGGGCAGGGCCCGGCCCGGCCCGGCCCCGGCCCCGCGCGGGTCACAGCGAGCGGGGGAACGCGGCACGGCCCGGGACAGGCTCCGTCCGCCCCGGCCACGGGGGAAGCGAGCGGAGGAGGCCCGGCCCCGCTCCCGGCCCCGCACACCGCCCGGCCTCTCTCCCTCTCTCTCCCTCACACACACTCACCCGCCGCCGCCGCTCAGCCCGGCCCGGCCAGCGCCCGGCCCGCCCCGGGAACGCCGGCCCGGAAGAGTTTCCCCGGCTCCCGGCGGGCGCAGCGCTGGCGGAGGCGGGGCCGGGCCGGGCGGTGCCGGAGGAGCCCGAGCCCGGCGGTGCCGGCTGAAGCCCCGTTCTGTTCCGTTCCGTTGCCTTCCGTTCCGCTCGGCCCGGCTCGGCTCGGCTCGGCGCCCCGGCGATGGCGCAGGCGGCGCTGGGCGCGGCGGGGCTGCACTTTGACGAGCTGAACAAGCTGCGGGTGCTGGAGCCCGAGGTGGCGGCGCAGACGGCGCAGCTCCGCGAGCAGTGCCGGGCCTTCGTGGACAGTGAGTGCCGCGCCGCGCCGGGCCGCGCCGGGCCGGGCCGGGCCGGGCCACCTCATTACAGCACTCGCCCCTTTCATCTCGTTCCGCCCGAATCCTAAAGCGTGCCTGTTTACTGTAAACTCTAAACGTACAGCGGCATCTAAAAACTACACGACAAAGCAGGAGCATTAGATCTCTTTAGGGAAGCCCTGGGTATCGCTTGACGATTTTTTTCTTTACAGAAACAGCAGAATTTCAGAACATAGTGGGCAGCTTGATTGAGCTCGTTGACCAACTGGCCAAAGCTGTAGAAAGCGAGAAGATGAAGGTACTGTGCGGTAAATTCCTCGCTTCTGGTGTGCACTGTCCTGTGTGGGGCCTCCCTCCCTCCCTCCCTTTACAGCACAAGCAGCGATTCTCTGTCAGCGTGCTGCTGGCATTCCCCTGCGATTAACTGGGCCTTTTACATTTGTATTAATGATAATATTAATCAATAATAATGAATTAATGAAACTTGTGACAGTGTCACATTGCTCACACGTGAACCAGTCCTGCTCTCCCTGCTTGCCTGTGTTTCTGCACAGAAACAGAAAGTGTGCTTTTATCACTCCATCTCGGAAGAACTTGCCCTCCCAAGGCAGGAGAGGCCCCTGGCAGCCTGAGCTTGTCTGGCTGCAGGAGCAGTGCCCAGTCTGTGTGTCCAGAGGAGCCACTGAAGCCCCAGCGGCCGCACCCTGCCCAGCCCCAGTCCCACCAGCCCCCCAGGAGCACAGCATCACCCTCCCTTACTGCTGGCTTGGCTGAAATGCCTCACAGTCAACCTGCTGGGGGGGAAAGGGGCTGAAGGAGCTAACCAAAAACCCTCCACACATCCCTGCCCTGCTCTGTCCTGCCAGGCCATCGGGGCACGGAACCTGCTGAAGTTGATTGCAAAGCAGAGAGAGGCTCAGGAGCAGCAGCTCCAGGCTTTGATAGCTGAGAAAAAGATGCAGCTGGAAAGGTGAGTTTTGTGTTCAGCGCTCTGGGGCGTTGTGCAGGCTGGGAAGGCTCAGGGTGGGCACAGGGCTGACTGCCTGTGTGTGGGACCCTTGGCTGGTTCAGAGGGTGCATCAGAGGTGTGTCCTGGCCAGAGCACATGGGAACAATGCCACAGGCCTGGAGTTACCTTCAGGGAACCAAAGAAAGTTCATCCCTGAGGACTCCAGGGCTGAACAGAGGCAGCACGGGCCAGGGCAGTGCAGAACTCTGACACCCGCACCAACCTCGAGTGCGGCTGATAAAGAGTGACTGTGTGACTCAGGCACCTGCTGCTCACAGGTGACTCACAGGTAGCCCAGCTGCCCACACAGGTAGCCCAGCTCCCCTCCCACCTCACACAGGTGGGGTCCTGGACCCTCTGCTTGTCTCGCAGGTACCGGATCGAGTACGAGACTCTCTGCAAAATCGAAGCGGACCAGAACGAATTCATCGACCAGTTCATCTTCCAGAAGTAGAGGATTTTAAGATAAAAACCAACTCACGTGGATACTTGACCATTCCAGAATCTCGAGAATTTCAGAAATATGCAATTTCCACTGTGCAGGAGTGCAGATGGTTGGTACAATGGAGGGGCTGTACCTCGGTTTGAGCGTACCGTGGCAATAAGAAGGGCTGACAGCTCACAGCTGCACAGGCTGTTCTGGCCTTTGATTTTATACCAGTTTTGTACAGTCAGTAGTTCTAATTCAAATTACAGTTGAATTAATGCTACTGGTGCTTTGTTGTGTCGCTTTTTGAAGTCTACAGCTCTTTCATAGATATCAGAAAATAAATTCTTGTTCTCAGACTGTCTGGCTGTACCAGAATTAGTTGCTCCTCCTCTGTTATTTTTCAGTGTAAAGGTTTACAGACAAGCAGCAGTATTGGATCTATATCTGCCTATGTTACTTTTTTCTATGGAATTATTAAAAAAAAAAGACAGAAATGTATGATTTCCAGAATGGACCAATTACAGATTCAAAAAAAAGCAGAAACTACATGAGAATTAAGAACTTTGAATGTCCATTCAGGACTGTGTTAATATGAGAGCTGAATCCTTTTATGGGCATTATTAGGATGGAAACACCAGACTGATGAGGGAAACCATTCCAAGTGTCAGTGACACCAGGAGTGCACAAACTGTGAACCACAAACACAAGTGTGAACTCAAGCCTCATGTTGGAAGTGCAAATAGATGCATTGTGTGTATGTCTATAGCACTTCAGTATGGAAATGCTGCCCTTTCCAAACAAAGCCTGGGGAAGGCTTCAGCTTTACACAGTGAATAAAGTGTGCCAGCAGTGCCTGAGCAGCTCCACGGTGCCCGTCACCTCACCAAGCTCCAGATGAAAACCAACCCCAACCACAGAACTTCTGTCTGTAGTTGTAACTTATGCATGGATTTACTCTGGGAACTCTCCACCATCTCGTGGTCACTGTAAGTTCCTTCAGCCATTCCCTGAAGAAGACTGAATGCAGTTTAATGCGTTTAGTTATTTATTTCCATACCAGAAATGATTTTAGGGAAGAAAGAAATTTCCAACTCCTTGGTTACAATTCCCAAAGTACTTCAGAATCCTCTGGGCAGTACTCCTGGTTGTCAAGGATAACTTTAAGCATTCATGAATCCAGATTTTGGCACATTTATCATTGATCAGACATTTATAATTAATCAAAGTGAAGCAGAGCAAAGGCAGTGGAAATTTTAAAGGAAGGGGCAAGGAAGTTAAGAATCATGATATGATTTGAAATGCTTCAAAAGAACAGCTTTGCAAATCTGTGTTTAATGGGCTGGGGATTCTTCAGAATATGTGGTTGGAAGACAGATTTCCTACTTGAGTGGTTTCCAAACAGTCATCTTGGGAAAAGGGACCTTGGAAGAACAGTATCACCTGCAGAGTGTGAGTGAGTGTGTGTGTGTCTGTCCCCTCACAGTTACACATCAAAGGCTTAAAAGAACATTTTCCTGGGAGACAGGCCTTGCACAGACCTGACCCCAGGCCCCTGCCAGAGCTGTGTGTGGTCGAAGCAGGGCTGTGCACTCCAACCAATTCCAATTTTTCCTTGCAGCAGCCAGTGCTCTGGGAAGAGCCGCTGCAGCCAGCACGAGGGAGACGTTTGTCGCAGAGGACTCCGCCAGCGTAGGGTCGGAACCAAATGCAGCACAGGTGTGGTGTGTCCGACCTCCAGAGCCGGCTACTTCCTTTTCCTCTTCTCCACGTGTTTGTAGTGGGGGTTGCAGAGCATGGTGAACAGCAGCAGCAGTGGGATCAGCAGGTACGGCAGGTAGATGGAGAGCAGCACCAGGCGCTCGCGCAGCGTCTGAGGGCCCGCGTGCTCCGACCTGGAGAAGTCGTGGAACAGGATGTGGGCCAGGATGGCAAACAGAGTGGTGGCCACGTGGGTGGAGTAGATAATGGCAGGAGTCCTGATCCATCTGCAGCCACCTGCACAGAAGCAAAAAGGAAACAATATTTAAGTATTTTGAAACAACCAGAATTCTGAGTGACAGGACATTGACTGCTGCCCCTCTGCCAGGCTTAGCCATCACTCACATGGAATAGGGAGCAGAAAAAACCTCAGTAACAGTAGGAATCGAGGAAATTTCTCTCCCCAATGGCAATTTAGAACAAAGGGGTGATCCTGGAAGTTCTAAAGTAACAAAATGAGTACACAGGCTTGACCCAGACCTTTAGCTGCCCTGGAAATTAGCCAGATGTCAAATGCTGATGGTGGTTCCACAAATGGCTGCACCTGACAAGGGCCTGTAGTTACAAGGTTTTGTTTCTGACTAACTTTATTCCGTGCTGCTTTCTCAGGTAGAACACTCGTGTGGGCCCTGGCAGCGCAGCCCTCGGCAGCACCTCCCTCAAACCCCCTAATGATGACACAGAAACCTTCTCTGCTGCACAGCAGCAGCTGTCCTGCAAAAATGCCCCCAGGACATGCCCTCGGTCACCCTGGTCTCCCCCCACCTTTCAGGAAGGCGTAGGCAGCGATGGGGAAGAAGGGCAGCTGGAGAAAGGCTTCGCAGTAGATGAACGCCTTGAACCACTCAGGGGGCTGCAGCATCAGGGGGTCCCTGAAGGCAGTTGCATACTGCTGCAGCAGGTCTGTCAGCTGGAAAAACCCAAAACAACAGTCAGTCACTGAGCATCCGCCAGAGCAGGGCACAGCTCTCCGGGGATGAAGCCAGCAGGGTTCAGCCCCTGGTCCTTCCCAGGGCTGCTGCAGGGGCACAGCTCAGCACCAGGATCCGGGCTCGGGCAGTTGCAATTGGTTTCTGAGAGAAATGTCAACTCCAGCACGGCTTTACGTTGGACTTTGAACAGAGAGATATGCATTGAGATCTGCTGGTTAACTATTAATTGGAAATGGTTCCTATACTGGAGTAATCCTACAGGCAGCTCCGATGGCAAAAACCAAATCACCAGTTGTAAAGCTCAAACAGGAGGTGACAGCTCACCACACCCTGATGATGAGGGCT